GCTGACTAAAACAGGGAGGCAATTTCAGAGGTTTTTCGTGTGGCCTGCCTCCTGTGTGATAGATCATACTGCAAAAATTCAAGAAACCCAGTGAGCATTCATTCAGACAATTACCACGTATGTCCACTCCATTTACACATTCAGAGACTGGGGAACTGAGCACTTTGTTAATCCGTGAGCTCCACTTGAACCAAACTTGAGTCAGGATTCCACTTATTGCTTGGCTACATGTGTCTCTACTAGAGAGGCCATGATGAGGCTTCAGATCCCTGTATATCAGTATCAAGTCAGATCATAGGTTCACAGAGTGCCTGATTATAGTTACCTACATAAATGGTCATAGATTCCTTTGGAAAATAACTGGGAAGAGTCATTCACATATCCACTTGCTGTAGTATTATACTGGTGCATCTTCAGGGGGACCCAAATTCTTCATGGGTGTTTCAAATTTAGGTCTGAAAACTGTACTGGAGAGTGACTATATTTGGATGTCTGCATCCACCTTTCTCATTATTCATTCTTGATTTCTTTTGTTATTAGATTAAATAATACCTTTGTTCTCTAAGAGATTGTTTTGCCCAAGGAACACCATTCTTCATTAACCATCTTCACAGCTCTCTGGCTATCACCCCTAAAATGCTACTCATTGTGGTAACCAGCACCCACCTTGATTCTGAGGGCTAAGTGCCACCATCTGGCTTCCATCATCACCAAGGATTTCTAGAGGCCAAATTCTATAAAGCTTCTCCTGTCCTCTATATCATGACCTCCAGACGAGAACACCACTGAAGTCTGCAATAACGCTGGTGTCACTTCACCACTACTTGCCTTATAGGTTTGATAAGCTGTGTTCTTCTAGGAATTACCACAGCTGGTAGGTTTTCTGGTCTTACATGGTATATCCTTTCTGCCATGCCCACTTCTGTGAGTGCTATGATCCTTTGCTCAGCCATTTTCCACAGAGTTCTGGGATTTCTACTTGAGTGAATATGAGCCATCATTTCCCCCAGGGTTTCCAGAGCCAGGCTGTTTGATCATTGCTTTATCTTCCATGGATAAAGCATGGAAAATCCAGGGTCAAGGAGGGGTGCTCCCATACTGACAAACTCTCACTTTATTCTACTGAACAGTACATACTATGTTCCATCTCCCATTGATTCAGCACATTCAGAATCCAGTCCCATAATTTCTCTACAAGAGACTACCAGCATATGTGAGCTGGATCTTTCATCTCATTTGGTATAAAATCCCCATTCTCCCCTAGCAGGCCCAGCATATCTCCAGCAGACTCTGTTGTGAATGGGATCTAGTTATTCATCTGGCAGGGGAAGCACTTCCTGAGGTCTTGAGGTGGGCATGTGTTTTCTTAAAGACCTTAGCATCATTTTCAAGATGAGAGTACTAGCCTTGAGAAAGAAAGAGTGGGTCTGTTCTATAGGTTTGGAAGTCTGTTTTCTAGCACAGAACAGGAAGCTCTTGAAGAATAGTGATATAAATTCTTCTGAGATACGGGACATGAACCCAAGACAGAGCACAAACATTCTGTGATAAGCCATTTGAAAAGTTTCATGAGTCTTGCAGTCACTTCTGGGAAGTACGGATGAAGCTCTAATTCTGACCATTTGAAGCAGCAGCAGGGCAGGTTATTGCTTCAGTGTTTCACATCTTCTTTCACTGTTTTCATTATCTCATGTCCACAACTTGCCAAAGGCATCCCACGTATCTGTGTGTCCATTTGTTTGTATGGAATTCCTGAGTAGTCACAAAATCTACTTAGAAATAATTATTTTTCAGACTGCTGCATGGTTGGAAAATCTGCTTCCTATATCCATTAGTCACACAACTTCCTCCCTTGGTTGCTGATATTTTATTAGACTTTTGTTTGAGGAGAGAAGAGGAGAGGTGGTGGCAGGAAGGAAGAGGAGTGCTTGGTTAGGTTGTACCCAGTATCCAAGAATCTTCATTGGGCTGCACCACATAGAACTGTTTTGGAGGTTTTTGTGGCTATTTATAAATAAAGGTAGCTGAAGTTGTTGACATACAAAAAAAAATATTCTGGAATCAAATAACTTATTTTAAGTCTTTCTTGTTTAATTTAGGAGTTGGGTGACTCTACCCAATGCAATTGACTTTTTTTCTATTTTGATTTGCACATTTAAAAATGTGGATAATAACGCTACCTGCTCTGACGATCTCAAAAAAGACCCTTTTGAAATATTAATTAAGATCCCACACATAAGAACACTTTATAAATTGTAAGGGACATTGGATTGGTGATGCTGTTTCTATTTCAGTCACTACTGAATAGTTCCCATTAAAGTCAATCTATTCCAAAAGGGAAAATTTGCCTCCATGAGGTGGTAATTGGTTTCCTATATGATTCCTAGGAGTTCATTTTTTTTTTTTTTACCTTTCAAACTAAACAAATATTGGCAAATGTAACATGTAAGCATTATGAATTTTAAATTGATGGTCACTTCTAATTTTATACCACAAATACTGGGAAAAAAATTGTTTGTTTATCCTCAAAAAAGTATCTACAGATTTTAACCACAGAGAAGGCAAACTGGTTTTTCTTAACTTCTTCAAAACACATCCTCTATCCTGAGGCGATAGTTGTGTAAATTTGACGTGTCTGAAGATCCAAAATAAATTTCTAAATACACAAAACTTTAGGCAAGAAAATAATTCCTTATTTCAATACAAAATTTGAATTAAAAAATAAAAAGTCAGGGTTTTTTAATGATACCTGTGCTAAAGTAAATAGCCCTGCCCTCCCTTTTTTCCTCTCCCCACCAGAATAATCTTCATCCTAAAGAAGTCACATTTACTGTTTTGCATTACTTCTTTTTACCCTCAACCTGGCCTATTTCACTTCCTTTGATCTGTTATTCCAGGGTGACATGCAGAATTTTCAGGTAGTAAATATCCTTTCCTAAGGAAAACCCTGGGTAGTCCTTGAAAGAGACCATCCT